TGATTATTTTTCTAAAGGGGAGACATGTTTGGAAAGAGACATAACAAGTCAGAAGATTTTTGTATGTTGTATGTTGATAAAACTCACAGAATTTTCTCCTCACAGAATTCTCTGGCTTCTATTTTCTATAAATTGTTATGTAACCACACATAAATTCATATTTTAATTTGAATTCCCATGGAGTCTTTGAAAAGGATGGCATTCCAAATCAGTTTGATATATATTAGATCTACAATTAGACATTCATTGCATTGAAGTGAAGACCAAAAGACTTCAGCTAAAATGGAATAGGTTACATTATGTTCTATTTTATTTTTTAAATTATATTTTTATTTATTTCAAAGAGCAAAAGAGAGAGCAATAGAAACATCAAAGATGAAAGAGAATCATTGATTGATTGGCTGCCTCCTGCACCCCTCCTATTGGGCATGTGCCCTTGACTGGAATCAAACCTGGGACCTTCAGTCCGCTGGCTGACATTCTATCTATTGAGCCAAACTAGCTAGGGCACATTATGTTCTATTTTATGTGACAAGGAAAAGTCTTAGCATATCACTTTCCTACTTAAAATCTCAACCCCCCCCCCCCCCCCATTTTTAATGTCCTTTACCTTAATGGCACTGAATGCTTCCTCTTTCAGGGCATGTTTTTCCTTCCCTGGTTAGTTCTCCAACAATCTCAGAACAGAGACTATTTCAGTTATATATTTGTTGCTTTGACCAGTGCTTTCCAAGTGTTAATGTGCTTATGAATCACTTGAGGGTCTTGTTAAAAATGCAGGTTCTGCTAAGACCGGTTTGGCTCAGGGGTAGAACACTGGTCTGCAGACTGAAGGATTCCGGGTTTGATTCAGGTCAAGGGCATGTACGTTGGTTACGAGCATATCCCCGGTGGGGGGTGTGCAGGAGGCGGCTGGTTGATGTTTCTCATTGACGTTTCTGGCTCTCTGTCTCTCTCCCTTCCTCTCTATATATTTTTTTATTTTTAAAAAAAATATATTTTTTTAAAAATGCAGGTTCTGATTCAGCAGGGTTGGGATCTGACCAACATTCTAACAAGTTCCCATGTGATGCCACAGACTAGATTTTGGAGAGCAAATACCTAGATACATATGACCTCTCATTAAATTGGCATTAGTTTCTAGACCACATGTGTCAAACACAAGGCCCGCGGGCCAAATCCGTCCCACCAGGCCTTGCAATGTGGCCCGCACCGCGCTGTCATCACTGCACTCCGCTGCGTTTCCATCACAATGACAGTTTATGACTGTTCAGTAAACCATTCGGCCCGCGATTTAGGCTGGATTTTAGATTTTGGCCCCTTCTCTGATTGAGTTCGACACCCCTATTCTAGACCATGATAACTGAAAATGTAGATTCTTTATTTGTGATTGCTTCAGGTTTTTATTGGCCTTTTTGTTTATTGATTATTTCATAAAGGTGCTACATGAGCTAGACTCTCTCTTACTTCTCTAGTCTTTCTCACCACTTCCCATTCTTTATATCTGAGACCTAACAAGCTACTTTAAATTTCAAAATGTATCATATCTCAGTGCCCTTTCAAATACTATTTTCTCTGCCTGTCCTGATATCTTGTAAGGTTTCCTTTAAAACAGCCCAGCTGTTATCTCCTCCAGAAATCCTTCTCTAATCTCTTTCCCGTGTAATTTCTTTTTTTTTAATATTCAATATATATTTTATTAATTTTTAACAGAGAGAAAGGGAGAGAGACAGAGAGCTAGAAACGTCGATGAGAGAGAAACATTGACCAGCTGCCTCTTGCACACCCCCTTCTGGGGATGTGCCCGTAACCAAGGTACATGCCCTTGACAGGAATCAAACCCTGGACCTTTCAGTCCGCAGAACGAAGCTCTACCACTGAGCCAAACCGGCTTCGGCCCGTGTAATTTTTTAATTAAATATCTCAATATCCTCCCACAATGCCCTGAATTTTCTAAATTATATTTCTCTAATAATCTGTTGCAATATCTGCTTATTTGTCCCCTTCAAAACAGGAAGGGGAGGAGAGAATATGCATTTTATATAAGATCCCTACTGTCAATCACAATGCCTAATGCATTGTAGGTTTTAATGAAATAAGTTGAATAAATGAAGAAGGGAAGTTGATGTATTATATTTATGCAATAATATAATGCAATATTTTCTTTCATAAGGCTTAATATTGAATTGGGAGTAATAAAAACTAAAGTCATAAAAAGTTAAGTACAGGATGAGATAATACTGAAGATGTAAAATGTTTGTATGTGATTAATTGCCAAATGAGGATCATAGAAATTAACTATTCTGAATTCATTGGAGAAAAATGTCACTGTGGATTTATTATCTTTAATATTCCATCTTGTTCTATAAAAGATTTGTGATGGCTGACAACACTATGCATTAGAGTTAATGAAAAGTATGAACATGTAGTTAAGGGAGGAGTACAAAAATAGAGAAGTTAGGGAAATATATACTAAACTTGAGGATCAGATACACTAGCATGCTTGCAAAAGTAGTTGTTACTAAGTAATGAACAGTAAATTTGGTATGCTGGATTTTCATTTTGACTTTCTACTTGGGAGGTAACTTCTGTGTGAGCATCAGCCCCTCCCTTGTCCTGTGCCTTCTGACTGAATTTGGCCAGTGAGGTGACTTGGCAGAGAATCAAATGGAAGGAGAACAATGAGATCAGGATTTTTATTTTCTTGTTTTGCCTAGAACTGACTGTGCCTCTGTGTAAATTGCCCCTTTATTAAAATCTTCATAAATTATTTTAATTTGAGTGTTGCTCTGATTTCTATTGAGATTCTGATACAATTGCAGAGTTGGTTTTTTTAAATATATTTTATTGATTTTTTTACAGAGAGTAAGAGAGAGGGATAGAGAGTTAGAAACATCGATGAGAGAGAATCAGCTGCCTCTTGCACACCCCCTACTGGGGATATGCCTGCAACCAAGGTACATGCCCTTGACCGGAATCGAACCCGGGACCTTTCAGTCTATCCATTGAGCCAAACCGGTTTCAGCCAATTGCAGAGTTGTTTAAAGCTAGATTGCATGTCAGTCTTAAATTTTATCATAACTGTTAATGCTATAAAAAATTTTTAAGTGCCTGCTATATAGCAGACAAGATTCTAGGAGGAAGGGGGTTCAATAGAGAAAAATTCAGAAGATTAAAACAAACCTAAAATTCTGTGTTTATACTGTTCACATTTTAGCGTGATAAAAATGAAATAAATCATATTGGAAGTAAGGAAAAATATGTTTTAAGCCCTACAGTTTGGTAATGTTTATTTATTGGAATATATCAATGTTTTATTTGTTGTTTAACTATAAACTGATAATATCCCAGATTTTTGGGTAGTTTTTGGGTTGTTCTCTTTTTAGTAGAGTTAGATTATCCATAATATTTTTTTCTCTTCTGTTTTCTGATGCCCACATTTTACTGCATGTTCTTCCTCAATTAGGAGATATAAAAGGAAAATAAATGAGTGAGAAGCTTAGCTTTATCATCCTTTATAATAAAAGGGCAATGCCAGAGGCTAATTCCAGCATGTCATAAATGCAAGAAGTTTCATCAAAAGATTGATGGACTTCTATATTCAGCAGGGCTGAATACAAGTTATTGCCTACAGGGGTCCTCAAACTTTTTAAAGTGGGGACCAGATCACGGTCCCTCAGAGAGATGGAGGGCCGGACTATATGAACTACTAATTCCTACTGTAACACCTCGGCTGCGCTCACTGCCCAAAAAACCTGGCAGGCGGATCAGACTCCTCTGCGTGCAGTAGTTTGAAGACGCCTGGCCTACTGGAATAGCCAAAAGCATTTCCCAAAACCTGAAGATCTGCATTTATTATTGTCTGTTACCAGACAGCCGAGGGCATTTCAATTTACATGTTATTGCCTCCTGCTGACCAAATAGCTGAATAACTAAGGGCATTTCCCCAACCTGACAATGCCCTGTATAAACCTTATCTTTGATATGTATATCTACTTTGCTATTGGGCAAAATATGGGAATAAAAAGAGTCCTGGGTCTGGAGATAGAGAGAATTTAGCTACTACAGCTAAGCTACCTCTGGCTCCCCAAAATTCCTTCCAAATTCCTATTTTTTCTCTAGCCTCTTAATTAATTTACAAGCAGCCCTTGTCCAGATTCCTGAACCCTTCTAAATGCTGGAAAACACCCCAGCAGGGTAATATACAAATCAACCAAACAGAGGAATGACAGTTTGATAAATGTGCGCAGCCTCCTGGGCAGTGCTAAGGATGTCCCACTGATATCAGTGGGATATCCCTTGAGGGCTCCTGGACTATAAGAGGATGCAGGCTGGGCTGAGCACACACCCCCCCCCCCCGCCCCCAGGGTATTTGTGCACCAGGCCTCTAGTCTGATAAAAAGTTTGTTAGGAAGGAGAGTGAAATTCTGAACTAAAATGAAGCTTTCCAGTTTATTTGGATTGATCTGCTTGTGAAAAATCAAGAGATTAAAAATGGGCATAAGTCTTATATTCATGATGATGAAGAGAACCAGGTCTAAGAAATAGATTTGATGCTCCTGTTATAAAGCCCTGGTGTGCAGACCCTATGTCTTTGGATCTTAGATCATATTATAACCTTGTTTGCAGTACTTATTTAGATCATTGTTGACTCAGATAAGCTTAATTTTGTGACCCTACAGAAACAGATCATAAATCCCAATAAAGACATGTTTGTAGTTTGACCTTGAAAAGATGAGCTAAAGGTGCTGAGGAAATCATAAATTCAATGTACAATAATAACAAAAATAAGATTTTACCTTACCCAGTGGATAAAGTGAAAATCTAATATTTTTTCCTGGTACATGTTGTACATTTTGCCAAGCTTGATTGAAGTCCTCTTTAGTAGGTAGCTAAGAAAGGAACTGAATAAAAGCATGTGATATAAGGTTTTTGACTCCTACCTTGTTCTTCAAGATTTAATTCTTTTTTAAGAGCTGCTTTCACTCTTCTTTTTTCAGGTTCTGTTTATGAAATGTTTGGAAATGAATGCTGTTTGTCAACAGGAGAGGTGATTAAAATTACTGGCCTCAAAATTAAGAAGATCATAGCTGAAATTTGTGAGCACATTGAAGGTAGTGAATCACCACAACCATTTGAATTGCCTATGAATTTTCCAGGTACAGTATATTGCAACCATTTCTTATTTGTAAAGCTGCATTACTAATAGATATATACATCTATACAATTGCAAGCAATGAAAAAGTGGTTGTGTTTTTTACTCACTCTAGGGCAGTGGGTGAAAGAATCATAATTCTTATAGTTCAAAGATTTTAAAAACTATTATAAGGCAAATATTTTCTTACCATTTTAAATAAACATCCTTTACTTAGGACTAAATATTTTGTTAACAAATATTTAGTGATTTTCAACTACAAGCAACACTAGCTATACTACATAGATAAATTAAAGAATTCAAAGATATATTTTCATAAGTCATGTAGAACTAAATATAAAGGGGTGGACACAAGTAGGCCTATAATTGTGAGTATGTGAAACAGAGTTTATTCTTGTATTATTATTTATTAATTATTATATTTCCCATATGAATAGCTATAAACCTACTTTTATCCACTGCTGTATATTAAACACATTGACCCTCTTTATTCCTATTGCCATTATTCTGGCTCTCTGGATCACTGCTAAACTCCCCTGCTGATCTTACTGGCAAGTCTAGCTGCTTTTCTTTGTCTAGTTAACTCTACTCAGCCTTACAAAATTACTTCAAAAATTGTCTTCTGGAAGACTTTTTCTGATCATCTAACCTAAGCTAGAAATCCCTTTTTTATGTTCTCTTAGTATATTGGGTACCAGAGGATCATTCACCTTATTTTAAGTATTGACGACTTCCTCTTTTATATTATTCTCTAGACCAAGGGTTGTCAAACCTTTTAAAAAGGGCCAGATAGTAAATTTTAGATTTTGCTACCAGTTGGTCCCCATCACAACTACTACATTCTGATAATGTAACATAAAAGAAGCTCTAGATACCAAACAAAAGAACATGGTTCAACAAAAATGTCTTTATAATAAGGTGGTCAGCAGAATTTGACCTGTGAATCATAGTTTGCTGACCTCAGCTCTAAACTACAATTCCTTCACAGATAAAATATTACGTAAGGGACTTTGTCTTCCTAGAAACAAGCACATTTTCTGGCAGAGAATGTGCTCAATAGTTGTATATTGAATGAATGATGAGTGGAAGTAAAAACTCTAATAAACATTTACAATATAATGTGATTCATGGTATAGTGGATGTATGTACAGGTTTTATGGGAGTCTTGATAAGTGACATTTAACACCAGTTGGTCATGTTTCAAAACGTGGATTTCTGAGTCATTATATTTGAATCTCAGCTCTGCCATTGTGAGTTGTGTAACCTTGTCAAGTTATGTAGCCTCCTTTTATGTAAAGTGATAATAACATTGCTACCTATGTGCTAGTGTGGTTAGGAGGGTTAAGTATTGAAATATTTTTAAAGTGCTTAGAATGGTACTTATCAGTTAGCAAGGGCTATAAAAAACATTAGCTTTTATTACAATTATTGACATTGTTATCATGAATGGAGTCAGGCAAAGCTTTTTCAAGAATATTGTACTTGAGCTGAGGTTTGAAGAATAAAAATGAGTTAACTGTATGAGGAAAGGATTCTTCTAAGTGCTCCAATATTCCAACCCTTTCAATTGAAACCTTTCTTATGGAATGATTCTATTTATTCCTTCCTCAACCCATCTTTCATATCAACGATTCTTAAACTTGGCTGCACATTGGAATTGCCAAGGGGACTAAAAAATGTTGATGCTCAGGCCACTTGCCTGAGATATTCTGGTTTATTTGGTCTGGGAGAAAGTCTGGTCATCAAGGTTTTCTAAAGCTCCCAGAGGAGTGATCATGAGCAACCAAGTTTGAGAACCATTGCTTTAGAAAAAGCTTTTCCTAAGTATTCTAATTGATGTATCAATTCTCCTTTTAAATCACTATAGGCTTTCCTGCCTTAATCATTGCATTTACAACCTTTTGTATATAATTGAAGTTATTTGTGTACTTGCTTAATAGATCATAAGGTTGCTGGGGAAGGAATCTGAATCTCAATTATTGCTATAATCCCCAGTGTTTAGAAGATGTATATAATCAATATTTAGTAATTCAAAATTACTAGAATCTTCTGGTAGAAGGAACATTTCTTATTATAGTAGTTAAAACACGAAGCTTTTTGACTTATAGTTTAACTTGGGGAATTGCTGCTTGGAATATCCCATTGACTTTTCAGTAAGCATAATCATCTTGTATCAATTGAGCAATAATTTAACATTGTATGTATAATGCTAATTTTATTTGAAGGATCAGGATTAAGTGAGTGCTGATGATCAAGAAATTGTTTCTGCCTCTCTTAAAACAAATTATCCTTCTAGGTAATGATGAAAAGGATTCCTGATATAGAAATAATTCATCTATGTCAGCATTAGATAAAAACCAAGGACACTAATATTTTCATACATTTCAATAGAGAAATGTCTTATTTATACTCTACTCAAATGTTTCAATTTCAGCTTCCAGTTAGATTATAAACTCAAAAAGTTCAATATGTTTTTAAAACCCTTTTTTTTTATTGGGAATTTTCCCTAAATTTATTTTTTACTGATTCTTAATTTCATTAAATTATGGTCAGAAGACATACTTTATTTAATTTCAGTTCTTGTAAATTTATTGAAATTTGTTTTATGGCCTAACATATGACCTAGCCTAAAGAATATCCCAGGTGCACTTAAGAAGAATGTGGATTTTGCTATTACTGGTTAGAGTGTTCTACAAATGTGTATTGGTTTATAGTATTGTTAAAATTCTGATTTTTTTGTGTGTGTAAAATCTCTGTCAAGATCTATCCATTATAGAAAGTGGAGTTTTGAAGTTTTTAATTGAATTATTAATATTTCTTTTCAAAACTGAAGCTCTAGTTTCATGTATTTGGAGGCTTTGATATAAGGTTGATATGTGTTTTGTAATAGTTATTTGTTCTTAATGGAGTGACCCTTTAATCCATTTTGAGTTAACTTTTGTGAAGTATGTAAGATCTGTGTCTAGATGCCCTGGTCAGGGTGGGTGCAGGAGGCAATCAATCAATGTATCTCTCTCACATCAATGTTTCTCTCTCTGTATCTCTCCCCCTCCCTTTCACCCTCTCTAAAAAAATCAACGGAAAAAATATCCTCAGGTGAGGATTAACAACAACAAATTTAGAAAAAAGAAATAAAAGAAATGTGATAGAGCTTTAGATATGAACCATTCTTTACTATCCTACACTCTACTTTTCCCATGTGATACACTCAAATGAGAATCTTGATAATGCACCAGACACCATTCAAGGTGTTCTAAAGAAAGCATCATGATAGGAGATGACAGTTCCAAGCATGGCATTGCCCCTGAAGACTTTCTGTGGGACAAGATATGGGAGAAGACGACAAGGATATTGATGATCTTGACTCTGTATAGGCCTACGCTAGTGTGTTCATGCCTTAGTTTTTAACAAAAAAGTTTTAAAAGTAAATAAAAAATTAAGTAGAAATGCTTATAGAATAAGGCTATGAAGAAAAATATTTTTTAAAATATATTTTATTAATTTTTTACAGAAAGGAAGGGAGAGGGAGAGTTAGAAACATTGATGCGAGAGAAACATCAGTCAGCTGCCTCCTGCATACCCCCTACTGGGGATGTGCCCACAACCAAGGTGCATGCCCTTGACCTAGATCGAACCTGGAACCCTAGAGTCCTCAGGTCAATGCTCTATCTACTGAGCCAAACTGGTTAGGGCAAGAAAAATATTTTTGTCAGCTATGCAATGTGCTTGTGTTTTAAGCTTAGTGTTACTATATAAGAGCCTAACAGTTAAAAAATTAAAAGGATTATTAAATAATAAAATGTTACAGTAAGGTAAGGTTATTTATTATCGAAGAAAAAAAATTAAATAAATTTAACATAGCCTAAATGTACAGTGTTTATAAAGTCCACAGTAATGTACAGTAATATCCTAGGCCTTCACATTCACTCATCATTCACTGAGTCCCCCTGAGCAACCTTCAATCCTGTGAGCTCCATTCATGGTAAATGCCCTTTACAGGTATTTATTTATTTATTTTTTTGGTCTTTTATACTGTATTTTTACTGTACCTTTTCTATGTTTAGGATAGGTTTAGATACACAAAATTAGACTAATAATAGGATTATTTTTCAAGAAATTGTTTGACTAGAATTAATGAAACCTGCTTCTTTGTGCCTGGGTATCAAAATGCCTAATGCATTAATATTTTTTCAAAATAAATTTCTCTGTTGTTTTATTCAACTATACTTAATTGATAGAAAACATAATATCACATTCAATGGTCATTCAGTGGTTTATATACTACTGAAATGACTACATTTTTTAGGATTAGCCATTTTATGATTGCATCTAATTTTTTAGAAACTGACTAAAATATCAACTTATAAATTCCTTTTAGAAATTTCCTGTTAGCAAAATTGTTTTGAAAAACTATATTTAAAATATATTTAGTAGCTTTATAATGCATAACCTTTTCAGCTCCTGTTTTTTGAATGACTTTTGTTAAAAGAAGCAAGATAAAAGGTGCAATTTGCTCCTGTTTTTCCATCTGGATGTTATGAAGACATGATTCAAAGAGACCCTAAATAGGCTCCCTGCCTTTGGATAATTTGCTATTTAAGGAATAATGGGCTATTCTTCCAAATTTTCTGGGTCAACTTCTCATAAGGTATCTCTCCCCCACTGTGCTCACTTAAGCAAAATAAATTCAGCTATGTCTATTACACAAAATATTTTCCTAGATGAAAAGGGATATTCTGGATATACTAGACCAAAAACTGTGAAGAAATCTAAGTGCACAAAAAAGTTCAGGCTTTTATAACTAATTTTCATTTCCATTTTTTTGGACAATTTTTTCTTCTATTCTTTGGTACATGATCAGATTGTTTCTCTGAAGTTCTTTGGATAACTAAAGTGAATAATATCAGGAAGAGGAATAGACTTTGCAGGTCTAGATTAAAGTGTTCTTTTCACCCACCTACGTATATTTTAACCTCATACCAAAATTATGTCAAAAAGATCGTC